GTAAATATTGAGTTATTGTCTCATAGTTTGAGAGAAGATACAAGTGTCTGCTATCCCCATTTCTCCAGAGAGCTACCCAGCACAACTGTAGTGTAAGAGCCAGTCTCGGGACTCCTTGAAATGAGCGGATGCTTGACATGGGCTTTATGAGCTTTATGTAGAGGAGGACAGGGACTGGGGGTTTTCCTCTTTGCAGTCAAGTTTTTATTGAACATTTTAACAAATGTACATACAGAACAAAGGCAGACTCTGCATGAATTATGTGAAAGTAATAGTGAGGGGGAAAGAAGACCAAATAAAGTGGGAAGATTAAGAGATTGTGACAGGTTTTGGGAATGTTATGGTGTTTGACGAGGTGGGTAGAGTACTACAAGAACCTCCATAAATCGGCAGCTGTACACGAAGCTTTAAAACTACTCTAGTTAAAACCATTAATCCCAAAAGATGAGATCCAAAAAAGAAGCAACGTGATGTCAAAGTGACTGTGACCCTAAATAGTCGCGCTTAATCCCAGCTCTGCGCTCATGGCCTGCTGCAGTGCAGTTTTGGGTGATAACACCATCGGGTAATTAGGATTCTGCACACTGTTTCCAAATACATCCTCAGCCTCTCGGAGCCCTGCCTTCTATAAATGTACTAAATTATGCTTTCTTGACAGCAATTTTTGCCACCAGTTTAGTTTACCTGAACTAGGGGACGTTCCTGGTGGTCCCAGGATCAGCACCTTGGACAGCGATCATGACAAAGTTATGGAGACAATGTAAAATAAAATTTAAAAAAAAATTATATCCACATGGTTAGGAAGCACAAAGATCAATTAATACTCCTGAACCTTTACCACAACTGATCAGAATATTATTTTATTATCATCATGGAACTCAAGACACATAAAATCATATGAACCCTGGTTCCATTATTGGAATCGTAACGGGGAAAAAATTAAAAGTCATATGAATTAAAAAATAAATGTTATTAAGTTAATGTTATTCAGTAATATGACAATAAATTTCTCAAATACTTAAGTGACACAGACCTGTCGTTGACCATCTGACAACCACCAGTTGCCAGGGAAAAGTGTGCATTCTCTGACCGGTTGTGAGTGGTTGTTGATGGTAGCTTGATGTCGCAGTGAACATCTAGAGACCAGTCAGTGACCCCTCCTGGTAACTACCAGGCACTAGAGGAAGGTTTGTATTCCATGAACTGCTGGCGAGTGGTTGCTAGAGGTGGTCACTAGAATGAACTTGGTGACAAAGAGATAAATGCACCAAAAACCTTGTAATGGCTTTGTTCGCTATCAGGTTTCCACAGTCATTAGAGTCATTATAGAAGACATGAACTTGTCTGCAAACACTTGCCAACTGCTTGCCAAGTGGTACTGAAACTTGAGTGTGATACAAACCAGAAGGTGTGCCTTACCACTGCTACCAACACTTTTCAGAAAGTGCAAATTTTACTTTGAAGGTGAATGCTTTCCATTTCTGCCTTTCCAAAGGCAGAAATATTTGTGTTGTTAGTTTCTGTTGCACTTTTTCAAGTTTCACTACAGCTTGGAGAGTAAATGCCAAGTATTTGCCGAAAGTCAGCGTCTTCCTTGCCAATAACTGGTGACCACAGAAACATCGCAAGGTTTTCAGTGAAGGTATCCTCTTTGTGACCTGTTTCCCCTGGTGACATCAAGTAACTTATGTCAACCACTCACCAACTGGCTGGGAAGCACACATTTGCTGGGGGTCTACGGCTTTGTGACTGAGACATACGTTATGTAGTGGTTTCTTCCAAAAAAAAAACATGGTTTTGCTTGTGTCTTATAAAATCTAATAAATTATTCTTTTGTTTTGTTTTTGATTTTTTTTTTTTTGTTATACATTTGCAGGATGTTTGCAGGATGTTTCCAGGAGTTGCCCCTTTCTGTTTTTTTCCAAGAAGGTTCTGACAGTTTGTCAATTCTAATTTGATTTGTGACAGTTTTATCTCCTTTTCAATTTTGTCCTGCGAACTTATTTTTTGACTGGCAAATTAGCCACATAATCATTTGGTGTGTTTAGCTTTGACTTTAATGATGATTGATCTGTTACAGTAAATGTAGAGATGGTTTATTTGGTGAAGGAAAGCTGCAGGGACACCCATAATTTTTGAGTACACTGCTGCCATGAACTAATTAAATTGTTAATTAAATGAAATATTCACTTTATTTAATTTTTATTACATATAGACTTTCAATTTTTTGAAGTCTTATATTGGATGGGAATTTTCTGTTCCTGGCAGTTGTGCTGTAGTTGATGGAAAATTTGAGATTATTGTGTGATTTTTCTCTTTACATGTCTAAAGAACTGCTGCTTCTGTTGGTTTGTAAACTTTGAAATTTGAGAGTATTATTGGTCTAGAGATTTTTTGCGAGGGCACTTTTCTAGAAGTACAGATCAGTGTTATTCTTCTTGACTTTATCAGCCCACCAGCTTCACTCTCCTCCTCGGAATGATTATCCCATTTTAAGTAAGCATACATTACTATTAGGAGGCAACTGGTCTATTGTTTACATCAGCTTCGTCTTTGTATTTGACTGCATTTTATTGTATATTACAGTGTGCAGTGTGTTGCTCTATGTGTCCAACTCAAAGATGTGAGTGTAAAAACTGCAAGAATAATGTTAAACTTAATAAATATATTGTATTCTGTGTTTATCAAAATATTTTATATTGATAAATATAGTGCATTTGGAAAGTATTCACAGTGCTTCAGTTGTTCCACATTTTGTCATGTTGCAAAGTTAATTAAATTCACGGCCTTTGCCATAAGAATTGTGCTCAGGTGCATGACAGGATTGTATCGAGGTACAGATATGGAGAAGAGTAGAGACATACTTTTGTAGATGGGAGTTTGGAAAGTTTGGATCCACCGGTTATCGTCCTAGATGTGGTTGCCTGGCCAATCTGAGCCATTGTGATAGAAGGGTCTTAGTCAGGGAGTCTGACAGAGCTCCGGTGTTGGTCATTGCAGAGAGGAGAACCTTCCAAAAGAACAACAATACTGTACTACTCCAGCAATCAGGCCTGTATGGTAGAGTGGCCAGATAGATGCCAGTGCTCAGTAAAAGGCAAGGCAAGCTATTCGAAGTACTTTAGAAGCGAAAGGAGACAAACGCATTAAAATGAGAAAACAGCACATGACAGCTTGGTTACCAAAACTCTCTGGTCTGATGAAACACAGAACTCTTTGGCCTGAATGTCAAGTGTCATGTCTTGAGGAAACCAGGCACCACGCATCACCTGTCCAATATCATTCCTACAGTGTAGCATGGTGGTGACAGCATCGTGCTGTGGGTTTTTTGGCAACAGAAACTGGGAGTCAGGATTGAAGAAAAGATGCAGCAACATAAAGAGACATCCTCCATGATAACCTCCTCCAGAGTTCTCTGGACCTCTGACTGAGGCAAAGGTTCATCTTCCAACAGCACACAGGCAAGATAACAAAGGGACCACTCTATGAATATGCTTAAGTGGCTCAGCCGGATCCCAGACTTGAACCCGATTGAACATCTCTAGAGATCTGAAAATGGCTTGACACTCCCCATCCAATGTGATGGAGCTTTAGAGGTTCTGCAAAAAAGAATGGGAGAAACTGCCCAAAAATAGGTGTGCCAAGTAGGGCTGGGCCATATTATACCGTTCACGGTAATACCGGTATAATGTTAGGCAACGATAGGAAAATGAAATATCGCGATAGAATGGGAGTAAAACGCGCATGCGCAGTGCCTTTGTTTTCATGCACATGGCCGATTGTTGAGTGAAACAGATGAACCAGAATTGGTTTGTAAAAATGGTGCAACTTCCGTGATGTGGAACTGGTTTGGTGTTTGTCCGTCAGATACACAACAAAGCACATTTTTTTGCAGAACATGCAAGCGGCCGTCGTTATTGTCGTATTTGTCGGACTAAGATGCTCTTAAATCTGGGAGTAATCTGGGTCCTAAACTCTGCATGCTTCAGGTCAAACAACACTGCAGCATCACTTAGAGTTAAAAACTGTCTAAATTCTTTCATCTTTAATAAAACGATCAGCATTGCTGCTTTACCAGGTGTAACTATAAAGTTTAACTTCCAGGCATCCATGAAAACAAAAGTTATTACATTTAACGGAGTTAGAAGTTAGCAGGAAGCTAGCGGAAGTTAGCTCGCTAGTTTCGCTAGTTACCTAAGCATGATATTGCATGTTCTGACTGAGAGATTTCTGAAAAAATCAAACGTACAGCTCTGCTATCACTTCCAACATAAATGAAGACAGGAAACTAAACAGCAGTGACGTTTGTAGGGTTACTGAAGTTGGGCTAGCTGGTATATAATGATGTGCTACGTGATCGCTAGCGACACAGCTATGTTAGCATAACATAAACAGTGAAGCTGGAGGACGAACACTAACACTTTTCCACTTATAAAAGTTAACGTGAAGGTTCCTCATGGTTAGAGACAAATGCAATCGCATGGCAGGATGCTGTAAACGGACCAAACTTCAGTCAGGAGAACAACTGAGATAATCCATCCACAATACGAGGTTAGTCATTAATATACTGCAACAACATGGGAATAGAGCAGCTGCCAGAGAATTCAACATTAATGAATCAATGGTACAGAAGTGGAGGAAGCAAGAAGAATGAGTTTAATAAAGTTTGATTTATCTGACTGCTTTGTTTCGCTTAATGTGCCTTATAATCCCGTGCACCTTATGGTCCGAAAAATACGTACTGCACACTGCAGTTTAATGTTGCAAAGCACCTCTTTTTAACTTCAGTGGATATTATACATGGTTATGCTCAGGATATGTCAGCCCATTTCTACTGGAAATGCCTTTTGGTTAAACTTTCAGCAAGGAATTTGCATTTGCACTGTTACATTTTTATAAAGCTTTAATGTACATAAAAACCAGCTTCTTGTTTAAGTGAAAATAAATGGAAGGTTGTCTTTTTGCGCTAGTAATGTTGTGGAGTTGTATTTTGTCTCGCATCAATTATATCGTCAGTTATATCGTTAATCGCAAATTTTCAAATATATATCGTGATAAATATTTTTGGCCATATCGCCCTGCTCTAGTGCCAAGCTTGTAGCATCATACTTAAAAAATACTTGAGGCTGTAATTGCAGCCAAACACAGTACTGAGCAAAGACTGTATGTATGTACAAACACTTATGTACAGGTTATATTTTTAATTTTTAAATTTTTAATAAATTTGCAAGAATCTCAAGCAAACCTTATTAACTTTGCCACTGTGTGGTATTGGGTGTATAATCTTGAGGTGAAAAATGAATTGAATCCATTTTAGAATAAGAATGTAACATGACAAAGTGTGGAATAAGTGAAGCGCTATGAATACTTTCCAGAGTCAATGTATCATGGATTTCATTTTTCTCTACAGATTCCGTAAATAAGCTGCTGCGTGTTCATGGCTTTATGAACATTAATGGCAGTTTTCCAGCCTTACAGCAAGGTGACATAAGGAAGAACATAAAGCCACTTAACCATCCAGGGACAGATTGTGCCTAAAATTTGCTATATATGGTGAGGGGAGACACTATGACAAACAGACTAGCCAGCTTCCTGAAATTGTTTAGATAGTTTTCCAGTATGTCCTCTGCCTTGTGCTGCACTAACAACTACACACATTTGTAGACCAATAGCCATGCCCTGTAGCAGCTATTCCAAAAAAGGGATGTCTATAAAAAAAAAAAAAAAAAAATTGGCTTAAAAAACAACCCAAGAATGTTGTTTTATTAATGTCTTAGTTGGCAACTTTCCCAAGAAAGAAAGAATTTGACAAAAGTCCAACATTTATCATGTGAAGCTATTTTTTCAGACTTTATTTATGTTAAAACTCTGATAGTGGGTTTTGACTCAGTTATCTTCACTTTGAGTATACATGGCTGACACTGAATGCTACAGCACATGCACTGTGTCTGTGCAGTGCAGGGTAATGCTAATCTCTGATACTGTGTGACTCTTCATCTCTTCTTTTTCCCAGTAACATTTGTCCCAGGGGAATATCTTTGAGTTGATGTTGCAACTTCTGCACAAATCTTTTCAGCGGTATTTTGTTATTGATTGGATCCAGATTGGTGCTGAGGAAACAAAAGTAGAATGGTGACAGTTATGAAAATGTAATAAACATTCTTTTTATTAGTGCTTTTTTTCCCATTTATGGGTTTGTTTTATAATTTGAGTCAATAATAATAATATTGATTGAGTATATTCAGATAATATACTCACCAACCACTTCAATAAGTACACTGTACTAGTACTCGGTTGCGCCCTCTTTTTCTTGTAGAACTGCCTTAATTCTTTGTGCATAGATTGAACAGGGAAACTTTGCTCAGAGACTTTACTTCACATTGACATGGCAGCATCACACAGTTGCTACAGATTTGATGCAAATCTTCTGCTCAACCACATCCCACAGGTGCTCTGTTGGACTTAGATCTAATGTCTGTGGAGGCCATTTGAGTACAGGAAACCAGCTTGAGATGATTTGAGCTTTGCGCTATCCTGCTAGAAGCAGCAATCAGACACTATGGTCCTAATGGAATGGACATAGTCAGCAGCAATACTCAGTTGGACTGTGATGTATTTTTTATGTTCAGTCGGTATTAACACGACCAAAGTGTGCCATGAAAATATGTCCCACACCATTACACCACCAGCCTGAATCACTGATACAAAGGTGGATATATTAATGACCTTCCTTGTCATGTTGTTTACACTAAATTCTACCATCTTAATCTGGCTGCAGAAATTGACTCATCAGACCAGGTAATGTTTTTTCCAATCTTCTATTGTCCAGTTTTGATGAGCCAGGACAAATCAGTAGCATCGATTTTCTGTTGTTAGCTTGCAGGACCTGATGTGGTCTTCTGCTGTTGTAGCCATGGGTTTGATGTTTGTGTACTCAGAGATGTTCTTCTGCATACCTAGTTTGTAATAAGCAGTTCTTTACCGTTGCCTTTCTATCAGCTCAAAGCAGACTGACCATTCTCCTAGATAGAGGTGTATCTAATCAAATAGCAAATGAGTGTATTTAAAAACACACCATGTAGTCATTTTGGAATTTAGAATAGTCATAATGGTCACAATAAGATATGTCTCTTAAATGTCTCTTAAATGTAAATGAGAAGTACTTTAGTACTTCTACATGCTCTTCACCTTGTTAGTCATTTTCTATTATTTGTATACTATCTAGACATTTACAAATGATGACATTAGGATAAGTAGAATTCATTGTTTCAGGACTATCAGCAAGATTTAATGGAGATAATCTGTTTATTCATTTTGACGTTTAACTTTGGGCAGAAGTGGACCACAGGAAGACCGAGGGTTTGGCCAATAGATTAGACCAGACCAGGTTTGAACAGCTGTGCATAAAGGTCATCCATTAAGGATCCAATTTCTCTCACATTTTTAGATGCTAGATGTAAGCAAGGGAATGGAGCAAACAGAACTGTAATAGTTTATATTTTAGCTTTTAATCCTTTAAAAGTAAGAGCAAAACCGAAACCTCATGCCACTGGAATAGCGTCATGATTTAATTTCCTTGCCTGAGTTTTGACAAAGTTTGTCCCCTGCTGTGCCACTTTTTTTTCTCCTTTCTTTACAAAATTCCCATCATTAATTTGTGTTTCTGAAAAGGATACTTAACCTTGCATAGGCACTTCTGAAAAAGTCTGGCCTTCTTGATGTCTTCTAAGTGCCTCTAACATGATTTGCTCATTCTCAGGCTATAAATGACCTACAAACTTGAGACGGGTGTTATTGTTGGCAGATGAACTACTGCTGTTTTTGCGTGCATAGACGTGTCTTGTCTTAACTAGCTCAAATACCTCCTCGAGCATATTTATTTAAACTTGTGCCAAAAGAGGGCAAGCGGTGCTGAATAGATGAGGAATGAAAGTATTTGTTGTAACTTTGCAGCATTCCTTTAACAAAAGAGAGATTAGTTCAACATACGCAGAGGCAGGAGACGTCTGGCAAAGAGTTTTGTCAACAGTTTTGTGCTTCCCTATCACTTGTTCATTCTCACCCGCTCACTCATTCACCCACACTTTAAAAAAATATATATATATATTTTTTTTTTTTACTCACTCTCTGTCCACTTGTCATATGTTAAGTCCACTTTAAGTTTAGGTAGGTGAGTCATGTATGTGTGTCAGACATGAGTGATCACCATCAAGATAATCTCATGTCTGCTTTCACTGGCCATCTGTGTTGGACACATTTGCCTCCTACCTGGTGAAGTTAAAGTCAAAACGTGTGTGGAAGCAGTAATGAAACAGACAGTTTGAGGCTGTGCTGCGGAGGTTCGGGCGTGAGATACAGTTGGAACATAGCAGTGAGATTTTATGTCCAGTCAAGTTCACATTGGCCAGATGTGTAGCTATCGGACTATTCTCTACAGCCACCAAATCCCGCATTATTACCTGATTATATCAGGGTTTCCACACGAATCATTCTGTGCTCTCATCCTGCAAACCTGCTAAAACTGGGCACACTTGTGTCTCGCCATGAACTTTGCGTGACAGAGAAAGAAATGCAAACCGGCTACCTCCACTCTTGCCATGGCAACGGACGAGACAAGAAAAGCGATCCTGTACCTGTGTATCTGTCTCCCAAATGGTCTGTGTGTTAGTGTAACAAGATCTGAAAAAACTCCCCTCAATGACATTTTAGATCCCCCACTGTAACTGACCTGGGCTGGGGAGTCACAAGTAGGATTTAGGTGAGTACTCAGGCTTCTCTCAGGTTCCTGTTTGTCTTTTCCTAATGAATTCAGCCATAAGAAAGCTTCAGATGAGGCCCATTTTTTCCGTATGGCCAGGATATCATATACTGGTGTACGAGCAGTTTTTTGTTTGCTTGATGCAAAAGCTTTATTTTTTAGATATGTATGTAAAATATCTCTCTTTGATTTGACATATGAACTGATGAAGCATTTGTCATTTTACTTTGAGAAAAAAAGTGCTCATTAAAAATGCTGTGGGATGACTGCTGAGGTGTCCTGCATTATAGCACCTTGCTGCTTCACTGTTGGACTGCACCACTCGGCCACTCCTAACTCTCCTGTTCCCTCTGCTGGGAAAGGCAGATATTGCACACTCCAGACGAAGTACGAAACGCAGACTTGGAGTAAGTAATTTTGTTTTAAAGATCATTCTTTGCATTGCATTACCGAGAATCACCTGCGTCTTGCTCTGGTTTGATTCCAGTCTGCCGCATTCTCTGCAAAAGGCATGGCCTAGGTGAAAGCCTTGCTGAAAACCCCTCGGTATAAAATATTGTGAATGAGTCATTCCCAAGTTTGGTGTTAATCATCATTTCAAACGCCAAACCTATTATCACCAAATCTTTTCAAGAAGTTCTTGTGTCCATCTGGTGGCAGAAGTAGCAGGTTTGCTTTTCTTTTTTTTTTTTTTAAAGGGAGGGAGGAGGTTTTTTTCCCCTTCTTTCTTTTTTGCAGCAGCATTCAGGTCGTTTGAAAAAGCTTGTTATCCTCCAGCATAGGAACCAGATTTTTAGTTTACCTTGTAAATGACCTTGTAAACATAAGGCTTCCTTTTTTTCCCCTTTGGACATGCACTCAATTTTTAGGTTACTTTATTTGGTTTGTGCATGCGTGTGTTTGTGCGTGTGTGTGAAGGAGGCGAAACTTTCGCTGAACCTTGTACAGATGGAGTGTCTGTGCTTGGTGCAGTAGTTATTCAAACAAGAATTAATACTCAGCATTTGCACTTCCAGCTAACTGCCTCTAAGAATATTGAGCATCAGCTGTCTGTCTGTCATTTGAACTGGTGAAATAGATCAGCGTTACCTTTGTTCTTTTGGCCACAGCTCCCTCAAAATGTGACAAAAGATTGTTGTGACAAGTGCCTCACCCTCCAGCAGAGGACCAGTTTGTCTCCCGTTTGCTTGTGTCGACTGTTTGATAAAAGCCAGCCTACTTTTGCTGTTTGTGTTTCTGTTTTCGTTTTCCTTTTTTGTATTGAATAGCACAACAGGCAAGTTCATTATGCGTGTGACTCATCCCACTAGCCCACACCCCCTCCCCATCTGCTGCTGTGCGCTGGAAAGGAGAGGGAACCGCCATTGATCACTTCTTCCCTCACACATGCAAGCACACACCCCACCTTCAACGTCACTATCGATCGACATGTTTAATGTTTTTGTGGGAAATAGCTGGCATTTCCTTTTTGTGTCCTTTTACATCTGTTCCCGACCATTTGCTGACATTATAATAAATCACGGAGCAGACATGTAGAAGATGAAAAGTAAAAGATAATCTAGCGAATTATTCAGACAGTCTCAGACCATTCAGACTGATTGAACATGCTGTGATTTCTTTTTTCCTTTTTTTGTAGCAGGCTCAGTCAAGAATATATAAGGAAAAATGTCTGGATAGGAAAACTTTTCTTTTTTTTTTTGCATGTCTTATTCAGTTGTTACAGCTGGTAACAGCAAAGACCCCGCAGAATGGTCGATAAGCGTTACATATATCCTGCGTAAAACATTTCCTGACTGCCCCGCTCTCAATACTTGATTAATAAAATAAAAAAAACACTGACATCCACATATGAGATTATTTTGAAGTCGATGATTAATATTTTTAACAAACGTTCAAACACATTTTCCCTTCGTTTGTCTTCTCTTACAGTGCTTTAAAAAAAAGTAAAATAGAATAAGAGGTGGTTTATGGAGCAAACAGAAACTTGTGTGCTAAAAAACTGAGAAACATCACAATGAAATCAAGGCAATAGTTTTTTTCACTTTCTCATCTTTCTGACTCGGTCTTTCTTTACATCAAGAACTGAAAGACACTGTTCATCGATGAAACAGTTTGCAGGTAGTGTATGGTGACTTCACAGCAGTTCTGGCCTGCCAAAAGGTCCAATCTGGTCCCCAGGCTGGCTCTGAAAAGTGTGAAAATTGCAGAAAGGAGGGTATAAGTTGTTAAGAATGGAAGACATTATGAGATTGGTTGTCTGAACTGTTAATTTAATCCGAGTCAGAGTTCTGAATCATCCTCACTTTTACAGTCTTCCTACTGACAAAGAAGTTTTTCATACCACACCAAAGAAAGGTGGTTAAACCACTGTGTCCTGCTGATGCATTATAGCACATATTGTTGAAACTGCACCTAATTTTGTTAAAACAGCGCATACTGTAAAGGAGTGGTGGAGATCGAATCGGCCTCCGTGCAGCCCGTGAACTGAGTTTGACTCTTCTGGTTTACAGGGATTCCTGCAGCCTTATTACTATAGTGCTTCCCTGCTGCACTTGAAACAAAGAGCGCACTAACAGCGATTGAGCTGACTGTTAAGGCCATGACTTCACAACTAAATTGATGATGAGACACGATCCATTAGGGCCTGTCTGATGGTGTCTTGTACATGCATGCTGAGCACTAGTGTGCGTGTGCGTGTGCGTGTGTATGACACAATTATTGTCTATCAGCAGAACACTGCAATATCAAGGGAAAAGAAAGCAAAGAGGTTTATAAGTTAAAAAAAAGGCTGAGGTAAAGATCTCTTTAGGACAGACAAAACAGTGAGTAACCCTTTTAACTGGAAACTGCGGGCTGAATGTGTCTATAGCTTCTGAAATGATGATGCATGTCAAGTTTGCTTCACCACTGATAAACAGTACATATATGGTCTTTATTTAATCAGGTAATCTCTTGAATTGGATTGATAAGAAGGTTGGTAGAGATGAGAAAGATTCCTATGGGAGCGACTTGGGAGTGTTCTCTTCATCAAGGCGGTTGTATGATGAAAGAGTCTGTTGTGTGAGGATTAAGGTCATGTGCATTAACATAATAACAGCACTTCCATTAATTTTGGTTCAGTTACCTTGAATTACGGGATTTGGTGAAGTGTTTATATTTGTTTTCAGGCATTTCTGTCACTGCAGGTATCAAGTCAAATGTGTTAGAGCTTCTCAAAAAAGTTCTTACATTATAATTTAGGCTCTAAGGCTAACATGAATACATTTGCATTAGCACATCGTCACATCCAGTTTATTAGAGCTTTGTTGCTGAAAACAACTGCCTCCTGCTGTTTAAAATGACTCTGATTTCCTGCAGGGCGAGTGAACTAAAGTTCAGCGAAGTTTTGAGCCGTCAAAGTAAAACAGTGGACTAAAGATGCTGTGGACTAAAAGCAGTCTGTAAAACCGATTGAAACTACAAAGTCAGGTGATAATTCTGTGTGAATTTGGGACTAAAAGCAAAAGAATAGCTATTGGTTTCAGTGAAACAGACACCTTATATGACTTAAGTAACATTTATATTTATTAATTAGCATATATATTATATTTATATATTTATATAAAATGTATGCATTATGCAGTCCAGATCTTCATCTGGAAGTTCTGGATTAGCATCCATCCATCCATCCATTTCTGGGTCAGCTGCCATGGTGTGAGAGGCGGGGTACACCCTGGACTGGTCACCAGTCTGGCACAGGACAGACAACCATCCACGCTCACATTCACATCAAGAGCCCAAAGTGAACAAATGCAGACGGAGTGAGAGCATGCAGACTTCACTAGAGGTGGGAATCACCATACATCCCACGATACGATATTATCACAATACTTAACGCACGATACGATATTATTGCAATTTTTAAAAATATTTTGCGATATTCAGATTCTGTACATAAAGGTAAACTTTATCAATATTCATTTTATCTAATATCAAAGTCTCACACTCAGTCTTTCTCTCATTTCAGTCAGTTTTATTGTTGACAAACTGAACGGTTTGTATTACAGTTTAGTCCAACTTAACTGAATGCAACCATCTGGTACAATTATAGCTATTCTGAACTATGCAATTTATGAAAACTATGCAGCCCATTCAGCAACTGAAGAACTTGAAAGTAAATTAAAACAAAATATAATTTTACATTACATAAAAAAGTTTTAAGCTTAATTAAAATAAAACATGTCTTAGATTAAAAGAAGTAAACTGTCATGTTTATTGCTGCCAAAAAACAAGTTAAACACATTTGGACAGTGAAGGAATGCCAGGATTCTTGCTCAGAAAAAGGATCAACATGCTCTGAGCACAAAAACCTTTTTTGTAACAAAATATCGATTTCTGCTGTCCCTGTATCGATACATTATTAGCAAACAAAATATCACGATACTACATAGTATCGATTTTTTCCCCCACCCCTAGACTTCACACAGAAAGGTCCTAGCCTTGATTCAAACCCAGGAGTTTCTTAATGTGAGGTGACAGTGCTAACCGCCACGTTCATAATGATTAAACTTCTAATAAAAGCTCCACTAAGTTTACCAGAAATTGTCAATCAATCCCAGTTTACACAGCGTTATTGCCACAGGCTAAAGACTGTGCTAAAGAAAAATTTTGCCTGCTGACTGGCTAGGTTGTCCTCCCAGGCTTGTTGGTGCACTGAGTGTGGGTTCCCTGTCACAGCCAAGAAAGTTGCAGAATAAGGTTTGGGGGAAAATATTGTATTGTTTATTTGTAATGTATACATGACGAACTGTTCAATAAGCTACATTTTTCAGACATAGTTTGGAGAGATATTTGCCGACATTAAGGTTAAGATATGGTAAAATATTGGGCACTCTGTCTCGGTTTTTGGCCAGCTTTTGCCCTTTAGTTTGAGACATTTTGAAATTACATTTATTTCATTATGATCAGGAGGTACTTTGGTACTTATAGGCCTTTATAATTGTGGCTTTAAAATAAGGGTTGGGCGACTGGACGAATATATCCACTATCTACGATAGGCTGAGCCTTTCGCCGATTGTTTTTAGAAGAGCGATTTATTTATTTGCCCATGAGTATGTTTGCTAATAATGTTGGTTGAATCTAAGAGAAGCAATCAATGGAAAAAAATAATAGGGCTGTTTAATGGCACCCTCTTCCATCTGCAAACAAATGCACCCTCCTCAGAGTGCGCCCAAATGCAGCGATTCATTTACTCAAATTCATAACAGAAAGAAAGAAAGGCAGTAGCCTATGTTAAAAAACAACAACATTTTATTTAAATAAAAAAAAAAACAACACAATGGTGGGAAGGGAAACAAACAGCAACTGCCTTCTTAAATAAATAAATAAATGAAGAATCCGAAAAGTAGCTATATTAATACTGAAACAAACAAGAAAAGAAGGTAAAATATTCCCTCCAAACAAAATGTATAAATTCTAAATGCGCAAATCCACGCATGATTACATTGCTCCACCCATTAAAAAGTCTGCGCCTGCACATGTATATTGCCTTTATCGTCATTTATTGGACTGACGATTGTCGGTTGGAAAACTTTTACATATCGCCCAACCTTACTTTGAAACAAGTCCAGGTATAGGATACCTTGGATAAATGTTAGTTTTATATGTATATACTGAGCATGTTTACCTTGAACTTACGGCTTATGTAAATTTTAGCTTTAATGTTGTTAATCCATGAAATAAAAATACTTTTTATTAATTACAACACCCCTCAGTGTGTTGTAATGATCGTGAAATCACTTCCTTTTTAACGTCTTTATTGCTAAATTTGATTGCCCCGAACTGAATGTGAAAAATTCAAATGAATTCTTTTGAAGGCTTGGTCTGAGCTATAATGCATTCATACAGTGCTGTTAAAAGGTATTTTCCCCCTTCCTGTTTTCTTGTTTTTTGTTAAGTCTTTTAAAATGATAATTTCATTTATTAAGGTGAAACGATTATCCAAACTAGTCCTATGTGAAACGTAATTGACCCCTGTAGTTATGAATTAACTGTGACTAATCATATTTTTGTAAAGTGGAGTTCAATCTCTCTTGCCACATCCATGCCTGCTTACTGCCAGATCTGTTGGATCAAGAAATCACTTAAATAGAACCTGTCTGACAAAGTGAAGAAGGGTAAAAGATGTTAAAAAAGGACCAAAGTCACTGACATCTATCAGTCTGGAAAGAGTTACAAAGTCATTCCTAAGGGTTCGGAACTCCAGCTCTTATACACAAATGGAGAAAACCTGACTGGTGAACTTTCCCAGGAGCCAACCAAATTACTCCAAGAGTGCATCAATGACTCAGGAGGTCATAAAAGAGCCCAGAACAACAAAAACTGGAGGCCTGAGTTAAGGTAGTGTTCATAATACTGCAATAAGAAAGAGACTGGGTAAAAATGGAATTCATGAGACCATTTCAAGTAGAAATCCACTTCTGACCAAATGTTAATCGCCAAAACTTTTGGGAAAATACTCTTGGGAACAATGAGGCAAAACTTGAACAGTCAAACATGGTAGTGTGGTCTGGGACTGCTTTACTGCTTCAGGACCTGGACGATTTATTGTAATTAATGGAACCATGAATTTTGCTTTCTACCAGAAAATCCTGAATGTCCAGCTATCAGTTTGTTTCCTGAACTCAAGCACACTTGGGATGCAACTGAACAATGAAGGGAAACATACCACCAAGTCTTCTCTCAATGGAAAAATAACACAAAATAAAGTCTTTTGGAGTGGCCTAGTCAAAGTCCAGACTTATATCAAGTTGTGATGTTTTGACATGATTTAAACAGCCCATTCCTAATCGAAAACCCTCCCCCTACCCAGAATTCAAACAATTCTGCAAGGATAATGGGGCCAAACTCAATGACTCATTGCACATTATGAACATCTCCTTGATTGCAGTTCTTGCCTCTGAGGTTAGCACAACCCATTATTAGGTTTTGGGGACAATTACTTTTTTCACACAGAGCCAGGTGGGTTGGGTTAACTTTTTTCCCCAATAATTAATAAAATCATCATGTAAAAAACTGCATTTTGTATTTACCATGGTAATCTTTGTGTAGTATTAAAATGTGTTTGATGATATAAAACCTGGATCTCATTTTTAAAAATCAGGTAAGTGCTTCAAAAGTTATGTGGATAAACACACACTCTTTCACCTATTGTTGTTGGTACCATAGTTCTCGAGGTATAGACTTTAAACTTGATAAAGAGGCTGGGGAGTTCCCCCAATCAGAACTTTTTACCATACATCTAGATGGTGTCACAGACTAAAATGGAAGGTGACAATGTGTGAAAATGTGGGTGCCTATGCATGACACATGTCAGTGCACCACCGTGAGTTAAACACTTAAATGATGAACTAACATTGTGATGATAAAAGATGATTCACGTATATGGAGTCATGTTGTGAGAACTGTTCTTGTGCTTTCTCACATGTAGGTGGTGCTGGACATGACATTTGGAGGTGGTGGTCATACCAAAGCAATTCTGAGCACAGTTCCCGAAGTCACGGTCCTGGCCTTAGATCGAGATCCCACAGCAATTTCTCTGGCCCAGCAGTTAGCCAAGGAACACTTGTAAGTGATTTATTGAGAAAGATCAACTAGACCAAAGTTGAAGCTTCAAGCTACACACTGTTGAGACAAATGTTTATACCTTATCATGGCTAATGTTTGGCCATCAGTTTTTGTTGTTATAGCTGACAGCTTGACAGTTTTAAGCAGTGTGTGTGGTTTGTGGTAATTTCTTAAAGGATACTGTGGGTTTGATATACGGTGTTGCAGCTCTCCCTGTACTTTCTCACTTCTTCCCTGAGCCCGATCAAATACTGCTTGCCAAGATACAGCCCCTGAGTTCCACTGTCCAATCAGAGCCATTCTTCCTTCTTAACTTAAAGCTTTTCTCCCCCCACGCAAAGCTGGTGGGCCCAGCATGTAATTTGTCAGAGTAAGGGCCCACGCCTGCTGTGTGAGGGAGATGCTACCTCCCACAGAGGATCTATAAGTTACTGGTGGGGGGTGTGGGGGTTAAAAATGGAGAGAGAGAGAGAGGCAAAAAAAAACGAGAGAGAGAGAGAAAATGAAAATATAAGAGAGAGCAGGGAGACACAAGGACACAATGCCAGGGTGAGAGGGAGTGTGTGTGTGTGCATGAGCAAAGCGCGGGTGGATGAAAATAAGATGTTCCTAAGACCATGGCGTGGGAAGGAATCCTTTTACGTAGATTCTGGGGAAACCTCTCTCAAGGGAATCTGCCAGAGAAATGTGCCTGTGAGCGGGGAATGACAATTAAGAGAGAGAGAGAGAGAGTGAATGAGAACACTGTATTCTGTCAGCAGCAATATACCCCTGCTGTAAACTCTTCCACGCCTACTCGTGATGCAAGTTGAGAGAGGCTAGAGAAATCTAGCAATTAACCAATATTATTGGAAGCCTGAGTAAAAGACCCTGGCAGCCCACGCAGTGCATCCACACAACAGGGTTAGAGGATTTTCTCTCTCCTCTGCACTCCCGTTTCTTGAGGAAAGTCTAACCTCAGTGCAAACTGTTGAGTTTCGGTGTCAGTCTGAACCCAGTTTTACAGCACAAAGAGAACAATTTCAAGTCCAAACATTTCAAAATCGTCAGCTTATGAAGGTAAATCTCTTTTCCCTGAATAATATTCACCCGTGTACTTAATGGGATTTGTCTCCTGCATGTTGAGCCTTGCTATTCTCTGCATCATTCTTCTTGTTGCTATGACTTCCCTCCGCTCGAAGATCTGCAGTAGTTGTGCCCACAGTACATGTTATAAATCTGAAAGGCACAGCACGTCATTGAAAAGTCAAACATTGGATTTACATGTACATATATGGTGAAACTGACTGATATGAAGTGAGATCTGAACTGTTTGCATACTCTGTGCTCTTTGTTGATTTACACCGAATGCCATGTTGCCTGTCACATCATGGGTAGTAGGCTCTGAATGCTTTGACACATGAAGCCCATTTTCTTAGAGTTTGCCTGCACATATTGGCTCTCTGTCTTTATTTGGCTTATTTAAAATGTTTTCATAAGAACAGTTTCCCTCTAAGGTTGTAGCGCTTTTCTGCTTTTGTTATTCAGTTGATCCTTCTTTTATTTTTTCCTTTCCACTCTTATTCCACTCTTTCTTACTCTTGTTGTTTGTTTGAAGACCACTGCATGAAATGAAATTATATTTAAAGGTTTTACATTGGAGATTTGTCAGATCTGCAATTAAAGGTGAGCCTATAATAACATGTTGATGAATTATTTGGCAATTTCCTTTAGGGTTTTTACAATACTAGAATTTCAAACGGTAGAGATACCCTGGAAAATACTTAATACAATTTTCAATGCAATGGGGGGAAAATTAAAATCAATCATTTAAGAGGCGTCCATTTTTAACAATAGTTACAACAGTACTGGTTGGTGCAGATGTTTTCAGCTACAGCTAAGGCTGGGTGATATGACTTTAAGTTAAAAAAAATGACAATTCATGAAACATTTCCCCTCAATTAGGATTAATGAATATGAACAAACAAACCCACACACAGACAGGATATTTTTGTTTGTTAGTGTTGTAACAGATTGGCAGTATTACTTTTGGTCGTTAAAACTACAAAAAGTGTCCAAAAAACAGACACAGCATTTTGTATTTGGCAGAGGCCGCTTCAGTTGTGCTGTCAGCTCGGTGTTTGAGTTTAAATATTAACTGTCATTTTGGGAATAAAGTAGAAATTTCGAGATGAACACCCAGCTGAAGCTTTGCAGCTGCCAGCCACAGGTACACAACAATAGAACCCAGTTCATTCCTCTTAAATGCAGGTGAGGCGTAATTGCTGATGCCGCTCTGTTTTGTCAGCTTCCCCGCAGCGGCGCCACAGACCACTCCCCACAACAGCATCACGTAGGTGTAATTTTTAACCAATATAAAACATGCTGACTTTTGTTTGGTTTATTTTATTACTGAAAAAAATAGCAACACCTTGGAGACCTACATTGATTTCATCTAGGCATTTTGCCATTTTTGTTGCTTTTTTTCATGGGTGAAGTCAACCAGAGCTTACTGGGAGAATAGTCCTGCATTACAACAGTGCAAGGACCAGTGCTATGCATTTAATGCAGACAACTCACCAAAAACACTTCACAATTCATAAAATGCACAAACTTGAATTTACGTCCTTCTAAGCTACCCAAGCTGTCGGTTTGGTCAACTGTTTGTAAAATGTAAATGATGTAAATGTTCCCAGGCTACTTATAATAAGAAATGTTAGTTAGATTATAATATACAAGGAGTGACTGCCACAAAGACCTACTTTTACCTCCATCAGCAAACCATGCCAAAGAAGATGTTTGGTATCACTGCTAATAATAATAATGATAATAATAATAATGGCTGTTAATTGGCTGCAAAAAAATCTTTTTTAATTTCTCTCTTCATTCTTGCATGTCATCTCTTGTTTTGCTCTTCCCAGCTAAGTGTAATAGTGTTTGCATTGCTCAGTATAGCCCACACGTCGGCAGTTCTCTTGAGTTCTTTGTAACCGAGCGATAACCTCAATCAATCAATCAGTCGTACATCATAGACGACATAGAGGGAAGTGCTGATTTCCATGTTTAGAAACTCATGTCGTGTTCGCATTTCCTAACTATGGAGAAATGAGCTTGTCAGCCAGGAAGTAAAGATGATGAAATTAAAGTGGGGAAACAGGGGGCAGGACAAACTTCACGATTCAATATTTTCCTGTGGCTTTAACAGTACATAAATAAGTCAGAGAGAAGTCTTTTATATCCATCTCTGGGTCATCTGGGGTAATTTAGTTAAAAATAAAAGAGTCATTTCTAAAGGCTAGCCTCTCTGTGTTTGTATCCCTCTTCTGTTTTTTTCCTCCACTGGACTGTAGATATCTCCATCACCGGTCCCCTGCTGAAAGCAATCAATCACCATCTTGTCTTAGGCTTCAGTGACGCAGGTAAAGGAACTGAGCAGGTCAACACAAGGGAATATTTCAGGCTTGATTTGTGAAGAAGCAGCATGATGCTGAATGAGCATGCGCTCAGACTGAGGCTACTGTGAAGGCTGCTGATGTCCTCACCAATGGTAGCCTTAAATATTTAGTGAAGGAATGATTTCTGAAAAAAAAAAGATTCAGTACTGACCTCAGAAAAGGCAGAAAGAAAAATATCATTGCCACCTATTTTGACAGTTTGATGGATACAGTATAAAGCGTTTTGAGAAAGTATTTTATGAAAGAACTTAAATATAATATTAGAAAAGTATACCTATTTTTTTCAATTAATTAAAGGAAATGACTCACTCATAAGGTGCTCTTAATATCACCCCTAACATTTTAGAGCTTATAAAAGTAGTAAGTGGATAACTAAAAGTAATTTTAAATTCAAATTCAGCTTCACCATAGCATGACTTTTTTGTTTTCTTCACTGAAATGTGCATATTTGTCAAACACAACATGAAAAGATCTTAAAGGGGATTTTTATTAAAGTTGACTTGTTATATTATTACTGTATGACCGGAGGTGAAATGCACTCACCAGCCACTTTTTTTTGGCCAACATTTAGGTTTTGGTTACCAGTTTGAGTTGATTTGAGCTTTGGGAAGTGACGCATTGTCCTGGTTAATGCAGGATGATTCTAAAGAGATGGACATGGTCAGCAACAATACTCAGGTAGGCGTTGAAACAATGCTTAGTTGGTTCAAAATGTGCCAAGAAAATATCCTCCACACCATTACATAACCAGCACCAGCCTCGGCCATTGTCACAAGCGAGGATGGAGCCATGCTTTTATGTTGTTTATGCAATAATTTTCCAATCGTCTGTTGTCAAATTTTGCTGAGTCTTAGTGACTCTTAGCTAAGAACAGAAAGCTTAGACTGACTGGAGTGAGCCTTAGTACGGTCTTCTGCTGCTGTAGCCCATCCGCCTCAAAGTTCACAGTCTTGCACATTCAGAGATGCTTTTCTGGATACCTTGTAACAAGTGGTTATTTGAGTTACTGCTGCCTTCCTTTTTTCAGACTATTTTGTGTGAACTCTAGAGATGTTTGTGTGGTAGAATGTGCAAAAAACATTCCAGTAGATCAGCAGTTTCTAAAATACTCAGACCAGCCATCTGGCATGAACTATCTGTTTATCTGTTATCTGTTGTCAAGCTCTGTTTTGCAACCATGCCATTTTCAGAGTCACTTCAGTCACCTTTCTTCTTCATTCTGATTCTCAGCAACTTCAGCAAATCAACTTGACCATGGCTACATGCCTAAATGCTTCACATTGCTGACATGTGATTGACTGACTAGCAGTGTTGGGACTAACGCGTTATTATTAAGTAACGCGTTACAGTAACTACGTTATTATTGTGGTAACGAGCACGGTAACTAGTTATTATGCCAAAATCAGGAACGCATTAGTGGGATTTAGATAGGGGTTGTTACTCGTTTCTTTGTGTGGTGGCTATCGCGGAGCTTCCACAGATTCAGTAACATTAGCAAGTGGTGGAGACCAGCAGGTGGATGAGGGAAAGGGGAGGCAGGAGGAGGAGAGACCCGAGGCGGCCGCT